AGTTACAGTCTATCTGCTCAGCAACTTCCCTGTAGTTCCAGCAAATTCTCCAACAGAAATTTCAAGGGCCCATAGTGAGTCACTGGCCCAACCCCAAACCACTCCCTGTGGCCAGGAGGGCAGAACACGCTGACCCATCACACCTGAGCCTGAGTGCCCCCAGAGCAGGGGCGGGGGGACCCTGCCTGCAGCCTCTGGGCTGAGAACCACGGACAGAGGCCCCCGGGGGACACAGGGAGAGCGTTAGAAAGCAGGGAAATGGATGTCAGGCAGGAACAACAAAGGACCGCAAGACGGACAAACAAAATGCTAGGAAACTATTGGTATTACTTAGTAATATTTCTTAAGCTTCATTTCTATCCTTGGAATCTAATTAAAACTAACAGTCTTTTGTTCCAGAAACACCCCTATGTGATCATGTCATGCAAAATGCTGCCGTTTACTTCAGGACGGTCCGTACATCCCCAGAGCCTAGCTGATAACGTGGAAATGAAAAAATCTTTTTGCAGTAAAAGGCACTTTTAGGAGTATCTGCTTCTCCTAAGGGCAACGATTTTAGGTTTTCATTTTCTTTCTTTTTTTTCCCCCCAAGTAATTCTGTTGGTGAAGAATTTCCCTTATGTAGCTATTCTTTATCCTTGTTGTGGATGAATAAACTCTGAAAACCCAAACTGTACCAAATGACTATTTTGTCCAAATGATAGATTGTCCAGGATCAGCCTTTCAATCAGATGACTAACAGAGTGGCCACAAGAGTGATGTCTGTCCTTTCTTTATCTGGCACAAGAGAATGAGCGTTCTGAGGTTAGGCTGTGTCCGTGAGTCCAACTTAAGGTCTCAGCATGAAGATAAAGACTGCCAAGAATAAATGCCTTCTTTAATCTTATTTCATACAGGACCATATGTGACTCCTAAGGAGGAAAAAGGACACATAAGAAGGCAAACTTTTTCATGGTTATGATCAGAAAGAGAAACTGTTCAAACATTACAGTGGATGCTCAAAACAAAACATTTCATAAAGTCTTACCTCAGAAGTGTGAATTTGGATATTTAAATCAAAATCATTCTCATAATTCAAAAATAAAAAAGTTAACTGCACATCAGGGGCAAAAAGACACTGTTAGAAAAAAACAAAATGTAGTATTGCTCCAGAATCATCTTCCCAGAAAAAGGTCTTGTCCTGTGTTTGTGAGAAATGATCTTAGAATCTGCTAGAAATACAGTAGGATGGAGAGAGAGAAAGGCTGTGGGGGAGGAGCAGAAGTTAGTTGTTGCTTTCAGATTTCGGAAAAGAGTTTAAATGAAAGCTCAGATGAAAGAAGAGGCAAAATCACCACTATCATAATGGTCAACTTTTGTCAAATATTCTGTCGCTGGAGGAAGAAGGGACTGCTGTATGTCAAGACCAATAAATAATTCTTCTAACAATTTATCAACAAGTTCTGTAGCCAAGGAGTAAGGACATAGTTAAAGTCAGCATGAGATAAGGGAACAGAAACCAGAAAAAAAAAAAGAGCATTAACAAAGGTCAAGGTCAAAGGTATGACTTTCATTTTTTTTTTTTTTTTAAGAAACACATAGAGAGAGAGAGCACGCGCATGTGCGAGCAGGTGCGTGTGAAGGGGGAGGGGCACAGAGAGAAGGAGAGAGAGAAAATCTAAAGCAAGCTTCATGCCCAGCAAGGAGCCCGGCACAGGGCTTGATCTCAGGACCCTGATATCATGACCTGAGCCAAAATCAAGAGTCAGATGCTTTACTTACTGAGTCACAGAGGTGTCCCTAAAAGTATGAATTTCAAAATATCTAATATCAATTTCATACACACAGAGAAATATCTAGAAAGGCCTACACTAACCAGTGACACAGAGTTGCTTTTTTTAGGTTGAGAAGAGGTATTAAGGGAGACTTTATTTCCTTTATTCTTCTGTTTGGCTTACAATAATTCTTAAAATAATCTTTTGGTTATCTATGATTTATGCAATGAAAAAAATACATAATAGAACTAAAAATGTTTAAAATATGAGAATAAAATATGTTTCTGATGTAAACAAAGCGAGTTTGCTTCAGAATCTCTCTTCTCTTCCTAGAAACTGGACTGAACAAGCAGGACTCTGAAAAAAAACATTATTTGTGTCCAACTTGGATACCAAGCACACTACAAACTTATTATTGGTTATGCTGCTTCCAACAGCTGAGATCAAGCAGAGCCCCCAAAGGAGCTATTCTGGAATTAGCAGCAAGCCACCCAGGAAGGAGTGAAGGGAACCATCGAGCAGCAGGTTCCAACAAGCATAAGCACACATACACTCAGACTGAAAGGGAGCCACAGAAAAGTGAAAGACGAAAGAGAAGGTTGGCTCCGAGATGACTGAGATTTAACAGAGCTGAGATCACACCACGAGGCTCAGAGAGGAACAGGAAGCCGTGACTGCCGAGCACAGAGATGTCACAGGGAAGCAAAACGTCTCTCAGGCAGCGAAGGAAAGAATCTTAAGTTACAAAGCCTAGAATCTCATCTTGCCCTACTTCCCACCCTTAACAAAATAGCCTATAAAGAGATGGTCCAGGAAAATCTAACCCCATCAGTCATGCGAAGCAAAATTAGCATGAGGCTGAAAAAAAATTCAAGCATCAAAATTGAGCAAGAGATTTAAAAAAACACTCAAAAATATTGCCATAGGGGTGCCTAGGTGGCTCAGTCGGTGAAGTGTCTGCCTTCGGCTCAGGTCATGATCCTGGGGTCCCGGGATCGAGCCCCACGTCGGGTGCCCTGCTCAGTGGTGAGCCTGCTTCTCCCTCTCCCGCTCCCCCTGCTTAGGCTCTCTCGTTCTCTCTGTCAAATAAATAAATAAAATCTTAAAAAAAAAATATCGCCATTGGATGGATGAAATCTGTAATCACTAATTTTACCATCATATGTTAAAATCACAAATAAAACAATTATCTCCATAGAGGAAGGCTTAAAAAATAAAAATATAAGAACACAGAGCAGGGGAGACCAAACACCAAACAGAATAAAATATGTGTGGCAGAACTGGGGAAAGAAATACAAGAGAAAGAAATTAGGGAAATTAAATTTTTTTTTTTAATGAAAGGAGCAAAGGGGGAAATAGATACTACAGAAAACCCAAAAAGGAATATTAAAGCTAGAAATGAAATCAGCTAATAAAATGAGATAGAAAGAAAAAAATTTAAAAGAATTAGAAAGACAGGGTGCCTGGGTGGCTCAGTTGGTTAAGCGACTGCCTTCGGCCCAGGTCATGATCCCAGGGTCCTGGGATCGAGTCCCACATCGGGCTCCCGGCTCAGTGGGGAGCCTGCTTCGCCCTCTGACCCTCTCCTCTCTCATGCTGTTTCTCTCTCGCTTGCTCTCTAATAAATAAATAAATAAAAAATCTTTAAAAAAAAAAGAATTAGAAAGACAATAACAATTATAAAAGATAAAATGTATCTGATAGATACAAAGTGAAAGGTATCCCACATACAACTGGAATCTTCAAGAAGGGGAAATAAAACAGAGCAAGTATTTTTAAATAATCAGTAAGAAAGCTTCCCTGAAATAAATGAAGACTTGTATCTACACATTCAAACGGCATATCGTGAATCAGGGAAAATTAAGCCAGAACAACTAACGTTGAGACACACTCTAATAAATCTATGGAAATTTTAAGATAAAAAAATACTCCTCTGGATAGGTAGGCAAAAAGATCAAATCACATACAATTCTTTTTAAGTACAGAAAATTTTTTTCTATAATATGTTTTTAGAAACTAATAAAATAAAAATTGAGAGGAGAAGGTGGGAGGTAGGAATGAAATGAGCACAGAAGAATGTTATTTAATATTGGCAAAACGAGGGGCAGAAGTGAAAACATAATTAGCACTACAAAACTGACAATAAAAAAGACAATAAAGTTGAAGGAAGGAGTATATTTATGGAGAAAGAAGAGAACATAAGCTAATTTTATCACTGATGATAGTATTTGAGGTTATCATACTGCATATACCTTTGTATGAGGTAATTATACCTTTCTATACTACAGAAGAGTTGGATAAAATATTTACACAAAAAATGCAAAGTACTTGTACAGAAATACAAACCTTCTCAAATGTCAAAAGAATTACAATGTTAAAATAAGCAAAAAGAAAACATAAAATAATATGACAGCACAGAAACCAACAAATCTTTCATAGCCATAAATAAAAACGGGCTAAACTTGACTATGAAAAGAAAGAGATTTTCATATCAGATTTTAAAGGGAAATCTATCTACTCTGCATAAAAGAGACACATCTAAAACAAATGATTCAGAGAGCTTGAAATCGAAGGATAGGCAAAGATTTCTCCAGGCATATGCAAAACTTTAAAAATGGAGGTCTGCTTCTAGTGACAGAGAAATACATATATATAAGTATATGAGTATATCCTAAACGTGCCCACAGCTCCTGGTCCTATTAGGTACTGCCTGTCCGTAGATGCTAAGCAGGGAAAAAAGAATTAAAAAAAAAAAAAAAAAGGAAGACTCTGTTACTCTGGGCATTAACTAACCTTAACTCCTCACTATACCCCATTCTTGCTAAGCATCTAAACCACTGTACGTACCCTGACTCCAAGGTCCCCGAAGTGCCCTTTCAAAAACAGCAGCTCTAAAGCAGATGAGTCCACCGCCCACTCCTCAATGCCCATCACAACTGGGTTTCTTAAAACGATGAAACTCTCGGGCGCCTGGGTGGCTCAGTCGGTTAAGTGACTGCCTTTGGCTCAGGTCATGATCCCGGGGTCCTGGGATTGAGTCCCGCAT